TAGCGATTTACATCGACTTTTTCTTTCAACGAAATCTTCAAATTCAAATCCGCAACATAATTCATAATAGTGGATAGGATCCAAACAATTGCACAACGATAAAGGTATTAACCAGCTCGGTAAAATTCCAGCATCTCAACATTCCCATTCACCGTAAATCGTCTCGATAAAGAAAGATACTGCGGACAGCAGCCACAACAGTCGCTGACTTTCTGTCACTGCAATGAATCGCGACTGCCACACCCTCGGCATCATCTGTACAAGAAAGTATCTAATCCCCTTGATTCACGGTCGATGCCATCACTACACACAACCCTCTCTCTCTCTCAACATTCTCGAAAAGCCTCACGATATCGCTCGCTCTCGCGCTCTTTACCACCCTCGGAGCCCACCATCTATCTCTCATTCTTCTCGCCGGGATATATACGCTGCGATATAAAAGAGAGATGTAAGATAGAGCGAAACAGGGGCGCTACGGTCTTTAACTCGCAAATGCTCCGCGTTCACTTTGCCGTATTAGATTCTAATAGGGGGGGACACACGCACGAATTGAGTGGGTCATTCATGCTAAGAGCTCCTCGTCTCGTCGCATTGCACTCGACTTGCTTTCGCTGAATGTTTACGTGGTATCCGATTAAATCGCGCGACAGATATCATTGCCAATTTCGTTGACAACAAAGTCGCGCGACAGCAGTTAATGGTAGCCGGGCTTGTTTCTCTCGTGTACAAATAATGAAACTCATGAAACGCGTAACAAATATGAGAAGTACGCACTTAACGTGCGGGATTATGAAAGATTAATTTTAGCGCATAAATTTCTTGAAGCAAATTAATATCGAGATAACATTTCAATGTTTTATGAACTAAGGCGCGATAAAAATATATATTTTATTTGAGTAAAAAATAAATATATTTTGAGAAAGCGAATTATTTTGTCGAACGTTGTTTTTGTTGATTTATTAACCGAGAGATAAGATTTAGGTTTTAAATAATATTACACAACACGATCACAGAAAAAAAGGAATCCTTGATTCAAGTATAGTTTTATTCTTGAACGCTATTTGATTGATTTAAGCACAGAATGCTCTTTGCAATCACAAATTTTCATTTGTCTTAATAATAAATAAGTTTGTGTAAAGTATATTTTATCCTTAAAATATATTCTTGTTTTAAAAATCATTATATAGTAAAAACAAACTTATTGTTAGTCACATTTGAATTAAGAATTATATATTTGAAAGTATCGCTTATATTCGATGCTCACTTGTCTTTGCAATACTTATAAGTAAATTTCAGCTTCAACCAAGAATATTTGGCGCTATTATAAGGATAAAATATACTTGAATCAAGGCATATTTGCATTCTTTCAAGGATACTGTTTTTTCTTGTGAATGAAACTCATGAAACGCGTAACAAATATGAGAAGTACGCACTTAACGTGCGGGATTATGAAAGATTAATTTCAGCGCATAAATGTCTTGAAGCAAATTAATATCGAGATAACATTTCAATGTTTTATGAACTAAGCGCGATAAAAATATATATTTTATTTGAGTAAAAAATAAATATATTTTGAGAATGCAAATTATTCTGTCGAATAGTTGTTTTCATTGATTTATTAACCGAGAGATAAGATTTAGGTTTTAAATAATATTACACAACACGATAGAATGATTATCTATAGATGACTAATCGTATATAATTTACGCGAATAAAAAATGTTTGCTATATACCTTGTACGCAATAAAATTGCATACAAAATTCTACATATGAAACATTTATGTCATTTATATTAGCTCTTATTAGATTACGGATATATATTGCCGGAAAATATCTCATTGCGAGAATTTATGCGAAGCAACGGCGCGCATTACATCAGGGAAAGAGAGAGAGAGAGAGAAGCTCCTCCATCCTCGAAAGGATATAGAAGTCACATTCGAGCAGCGACGTTCGGTTGATCGAATATATTAACGTGCGGGCAATTTGTACAGCCTGACGGATATAACCCCGTATACCGAGCACCATCGGCGGATGGCAGAATGTATTCCGGAGATTACAGTTACCGAAATCCGTCGCGTCGCTATTAGGCGAACAAAAAAAAAAAAAAAAAAAAAAGAGAGAACGAAGCCTACGCGCTCACATCGATAAGATATACGTTTCGATAATGAAAAAGTTATAAATCTGGAATTGTGAAATATATGACGGGCCGATATAAATCTTCATCGGGGCAGCGCTGCCAAATCCCTTCGTACCGCGCAAATCCCTTTCCAATATTGAAAAAAGTGATAGGTCCAGTATGTAATGATCCGGTATTACCCGAAACCGCGAGGGAACGATATCGATCTATCGTTGTTATTCAACTCGCATCGACCGCGTCGTTCCTGTACATCCTCTCGTGTATCCAATTACAAGATATCACTCGCGAATAAAACATCGCTCTGTGCATGCTGCATTATACATAGCCGCGTTACACAATTATACAATTTCCTTGATTACAAATCAGTTACAGGATTATTCGAAACGCATTTTTTTTTTGCATCAATTTTTTTTTCACAAATTTATATTCCCGGGAATTTTATTTTAACCTTGTATATTTATTTCGGTATAGTTGAGATACAATATATTTTTCGGATTTTTGTCCTATAGCGACACCTACTTCAGTTCCCTCGCACGTGAAAGTTGATAACAAATCGCATACCGCGAGATAACGGGGGATTCATTGGGGGTGCCGATATAAACAAACCCACCCTGCGTGCGTCGAGTTTTTTTTCCCGAATCGGCCGGTCACACGCGAAAGAGTATATATCGTCGTATAATATTTCGAAAAACGCGCCGGGAGCAATCTCGCCCTCGAAGATGGCATATACGCGGAGGTGAATCGCCTCTTCCCGAGGAAATCCGAGGTAATTGAATGCTAACCCTCCTCACCCCCGCGACGCTTTTCCCCCCCCGCCCGGCAACCTCCTCCCCTCCCTATCGCGTCCCTCATCCACTTCCTCCCCTCTCTCACCCCCTTCGGCTTCAGGGGGCGCCATGCTCGCACTCTCGCTCCCCCTTCGCCATCACTCACCGACACAGACTTGTAGCTTTCAATAAAAATGTAAATATGGCGGCGTAGAACGAGCCAATGACAGCGCTACATCGACGCCCGGAGTCTGTGAGGGATAGATAGATGGAAAGAGAGAGAGAGAGAATGGGAGAATCCTGCGGCAGGGGTTGAGGGTTTCGGAATGGGAAGCTAGCTCTCTCTCTCTCTCTCTCGGAGGGTCGAAGATGGCGAGAGGTAGACTTCGAAGCCGAAGGTGGCAGGCGGAGGAGAATAAGCGGAGGAGCTTGCGGGAAAGGGGACGTTTGGAAGGAGGAAAAGAGGGGTGCGCGAAAGAAGGAGAGAGAGAGAGGAATCTCTCCATCCTTTCGTTCACCGTCACCGCGGCCTCACCCACAAGAGGGTGCACCGCCGCGCGACGACGTCCGAGGATGACGCAGGTGCCGCAAAGCTTGACACGTCTCCGGCTGTTTTGTCACCTTCTTTTATCCTTCGAACTTTTTTACCGGCTACCTCGTTAGAGGTGCCCTCCCTTTTTCACCCTCTCCGCTTCGCGGGCGTTGATGGAGTAAGCCGGGCGGGACGCTTTTTAAAATCGCGTATCCACGCGAGCGAAGCACTTTTTGCGGGTATCGCGTCGTGGGGTGGCTCTCCTTCTCTTTTCCCGGGGCCGTCGACGGCCGATTTCATGGCGGATTTTTTTTTCGGGAGGGAGATTTTTTGGCCGCGCGGATTTGCGTTTTCGCACCGCGAGGCGATGCCTTGATCGATCTCTCGATGTCGGCAACCCGAAGACAAATTGTCTCTTCGTCTTTCTTTTTTCCTCTCGAAGCGATATGGTTTTGAATATTCCTTCGAATTGTCGGAATATTTCAAATATAAATCACGCAAAGCGCCGTATTAAACTTTTTCCCGCGTAATTCTAAACTTGAAGAGAGGCATCATCTCAATTTTCGAGGATAGATGTTAGGAGTTATCATCCCTTTTTGAAGAACGCGTAATATCAGGGTGTCTAGCGGTCAGGGGAATCTGGAAAACCTGGTATCATCGAGGAATTTTAGAAATCTGGAATTGTCAGTTTTCTGTGTTGTTAAAAGTCGATTCGTTAATTTATATTTTCATCGTCGTGTTATTTTATTTCAATGTGTTTGATAGAGACGAAATTAAAAAATTTGATATAATGTAAATGAAAAACCCGTTTATCTAATATAGTTTTATAGCGACATGTTTGTTTCGATTATCGTATACATAATGCAGATTTTTGTTTGAACTTCCGAACCTTTCATCGTCGACAAAAATATCTCAAAAATTTCATGATTGAACATCAACTTGACTTATCATATAGATATATGCAAATTATATATTTGGAAAAAATAATACTAAAAAATCAGGGAAAAAAATTAATTGTTGGTCTTGGAAAATCTGAAAAAGTGAGGGAATTTTTTTCATTGATCCTGCTGGACACCCTGTATAATATCTCTTTTTTAGATTAAAAAAAAACTGATTATTATTATGCAGATTATTATCAATCGAAGTATATACAGGGTGTCCGGTAACTAACGGAGTAACGATTACAAATGGATTCTTTGGTCAATTTGGGAACGATTTTTCCTCGGCGAAAATGTCGAAAAGGGTCATCATTTTTTACAACTTTCCAATATTTGTCATTATGTATCTTTATAACTAAGCCTCAAATTAAAATTTTATTCCAGTAAACTCTACCTGAAATTAACCGAAGAATGTAATTACGTTAGACTTTTAACTCCAAAACGTTTAGTTTTCAAAAAACCCATTTTTTCAATCGCTTATAACTCTCAACTAAAATTCTCAACATTTTTGCTGAGGAAAAATCGTCTCCAAATTGGCCAGAGAATCCGCCCTTAATCATTGATCCGTTACCGGACACCCTGTATATTATTTAGATTACATCGAATAAACGAGATGAGAATATTACCTTGACTTGGGATTCCGACATTCCGAGGGCGTACGCTAATTTAGCCCGCTCCGGGCCGGCTAGGTACTTGGTCTGCTCGAAGGTCTTCTCCAGAGCGAAGATCTGCTGTCCACTGAACGTAGGCCTCGTGTGCTTCTTCTTGCCGCCATCGTGTTCCCCGGCACCGCCACCCGCGCCCGTCATCGCTTGTTGACAGCCCAGCTGTTGCGACACTGCAACATTTGCGTCACTCGATGAGTGATTCCTGAATATATATATCCGTTTCGCTTCGCTAGAATGGAGCAATTAGCCTTAGCTGAAACGCCGTTTTAACTTAATCTTCGATGTTCAGCACGCAGAGCGAGAGAGTGAATTAGATAATCTGGTATCCGCGCGTTCCTTAAACATGCAAATTAAATTTATTCCATCTTTTATCCAAGTTTTTGAATATCGAATATATTCGGTATTATTAGAATGTATTATATATAATGTACATATGTTAGAATGTATATACATTAGAATGGTAAAGGCCAAATTTTTTTACGCTACCGATCGTGTTGGCCGTTAAAACGAGAGAATCGGTGACTCGATATATTGAAATTTAGCCTTCGCTTAAAAAATTCACAACGGAATTTTCGATATTGCATTCGCGACGAGTCGACTGCGAATTTTCATTGCATTTTCAGCAACCGCGTGCATCCGATCGCATGTGCCATCGTATGGACATACATTCTATAGGACCCCCTCGTGATCTCTTTTCTGACTCGCAGAATGAAAAGGGGAAAATGCAAGCCCCATCTGTGACTTTCTGTCGTGACAAGTCATAGGGAAATAGTGCCGCATTTTAATACTTTGTTACACTAATATCAATCTCTTCTCTGGATTATCTCTATAAGTCAGGGTACAGGTATATGAAACGAGCATATGTGTATAAAACTAATGTATATCGGTATTAATATCTCTCTCTCTCTCTCTCTCTCTCTCTCTCTCTCTCTCTCTCTCTCTCTCTCTCTCTCTCTCTCTTCTCGACAAATATTATTTATTATATTATTAATGTGTGCTAATTTTACACTAAAATTTATTCAGGCAAGTGCAACGCGTGCACTTGTTCCATATACACGTTCACCTTTATTTGTTCTACGTAGGAAAAATATGCCTGCGATATATCTTGAGGCATAATTAGCTTCTCCGTGTTATAACTGTAAGAAGTATTTCATTTTAACCGCAGTTCGAAATTAATTCGCCGTTTCTGAAATTAATTACGGTCCTTATAACGCTGGTAATTATTGCCCTAGCCATTTCATGTTTCTCTCTTTCACTGGACGTGCGATTATAACACTAATTTTTCTATAAAATATCTTCTTGCAGTTACTTATAATTTGTCTGACGTAAATCACTCTTTGCGAATCTTATTAAAACTCTATATTTAATAATATATATCGATATCTCTTGTTGGGCGTTCAACTCGAACTTGATAGTTTTTCCAATTATTTACAATTATACCAGTGAGATTTTTCACATTTGCTTATATTTCAGCAACATGGATTTCTTTTTTACATCTATGACTAGATATCTTAGATTACATTACTCTCCAGCTAGTTCAAAATTACGTCTCTGAAACTCATAATTTAAAATCTTCAATTAATAATTATCAATCACTAGTTTTTCTAGCAATAAAAGTCTGCTCCAAATTAAATAACTTTATCCTATTCGCGCGGGCTGATGATTTTTAATCTCACTCGGTAGCGCGGTTCGAGTCTTTTAATTAGATCGGAAAAAAGAGGTCCGAGAAAATTTTCGAGAGAAACAATCAAAGAGGGCGGATGGGAGGACGACTTCTGCGGAAACAAGAAGAAGGGGGTCGCACACGGTTCGATGTGGCATGTGGGCGCGTATATACAAGGGGGCGAAAGGGACTCTCGAAGGGTCGACGCGGCAGGGTCGTCGTGACGCGGTACAGTGTGGGTTGTGGGACTTTAATTTAATAAAGCAATTTGTAACGGAATACGGAACGAGGCAATAATGGCCGGTCGGCGGGGAGGGTTCTAATGAGCTGCTTACCGCACTCCAACCCCGGGGTCTTCGACGACGACGAGGGAGAAAGGGGGTAAACGTATTTCCCGCCGTTGGGTATCCCCCTATTCGTCCTACTAAGCCGTCGCGCATATTTCCGCGACCACCTTTCCGCAAAACCCGATAAGTCCGCGTTTTTATCCAAATTTGTACGCGCCGCGGAATTTCTTTTGGGGTGCAATTTCAGATTCAGGGTGTCTAACGGTCAGGGAAATCTGGAAAACCGGGCATTGCCGGGGAATTTGATTAAATCTGAATTGATAAAGAATTGTCAGGAAAAGGAAATTTTATTATTTATCTTAATTTTTTCACATTATTCTACATTTGTCTCAATAATGGAATTTTTTTATTAAATAAATATAAACTTTTCCTTGACTGCCAGCACGCTAATTTTCTGTGTTGTTAAAAATCGCCAGGGAATTTTATAAATCTCGAATTGTCATCGGATGGAAATTAGTTTAAGTTTATTTATTCTATTGTCTTAATTTTTTCACATTATTCTACATTTGTCTCAATAATGGAAATTTTTTATTAGATAAATATAAACTTTTCCTTGACTGCCAGCACGCTAATTTTCTGTGTTGTTAAAAATCGCCAGGGAATTTTATAAATCTCGAATTGTCAGGGAAGAAGTCAGGGAATTTTACTATTTATCTGGATTTTTTCGTATTATTCTACATTTGTCTCAATAATGGAATTTTTTTATTAAATAAATATAATTTTTCCTTGACTGCCAGCACGCTAATTTTCTGTGTTGTTAAAAATCGCCAGGGAATTTTATAAATCTCGAATTGTCAGGGAAAAGTTAGAAATTTTATTATTTATCTTAATTTTTTCACATTATTCTACATTTGTCTCAATAATGGAATTTTTTTATTAAATAAATATAAACTTTTCCTTGACTGCCAGCACGCTAATTTTCTGTGTTGTTAAAAATCGCCAGGGAATTTTATAAATCTCGAATTGTCAGGGAAGAAGTCAGGGAATTTTACGATTTATCTGGATTTTTTCGTATTATTCTCTACATTTGTCTCAATAATTTGACATTTTTTATTAAATGAATATATAAACTTTTCCTTGACTCCTAGCACGCTAATTTTCTGTGTTGTTAAAAATCGATTCGTTAATTTATATTTTCATCGTCGTGTTATTTTAGTTCAATGTGTTTAATAGAGATAAAACTAAAAAATTTGATATAATAGAAAAGGTGATTATTTAAATAGTTTATAGTGACATGTTTGTTTCGATTATCGTACATAATGCAGATTGTATAATTGATTGAAATTTTTGTTTCAACTTCCGAACCTTTTCATTGTTGACAAAAATATCTCAAGAATTTCATGATTTAACATTTAATTGATTTATCATATAAATATATGCAAATTATATATTTGGAAAAAATAATACTAAAAAAATCAGGGAAAAAATTAATTTCTGGTTTTGGAAAATCTGAAAAAGTCAGGGAGTTTTTTTCATTGAGTCTGCTGGACACTTTGAGACTTGTCTCTCGAGATGAAGCGTTATCAGTGTCATCGGAGATCGCGTAATTCGTCAGGGAGCTTATGAAAAATAATCGCACGCGGAACACTCCTTTGATTAATCGTTACGTAAAATCCAGATTTTAGCTTCTATAAAAAGGGTTTGATTAGAGGCAAGATGAAATACGATTTATATACGAACATATTGCGAGATAAAATAAACGTGCAATTGCAATATTTTGATATGATTGTTATATTTTACAGCGTACCAATTTTTTTAAGAGATATATGTATAAAAAGACGGATGCGGCTCGCTATAATACGTTTTGCATATAGAATAATAATCAAGCAATATGTAAAGGAAATATTGCACCCCTTTCCATATGCAAAAGCTTTTTAATTAAAATACTTCCTTGAATTTTTTTAAACAAGCCGGATATATCCAATTATGTTCGGTCGTTCGGACGATTTATTGCCTGACTTTTTCCACAAAATATTTTTTTCGCATGGGAATTTGGACCTGGTGGTATAAAGTTTTAACACATTCACATTGATATACCAATTCCAATTGAATTCCGTCAATGTTTCGCAGACTAGCTTTTTCGGCAAAGAATCGGCGAGCAAATGGAATGAATAAAATAAAGCGTTAGGGTTTTCACAATCTCGAAAATCGCGATTTTACTTTGCAGCGAAAATAAATAAAAATTCTTCCAGATATTATATTTTCTCTCAAACGCGAAAATAAAATGTTTAGAGAGGTGTCCGCACGTCTATTCATTTAGACATTAATCGATCAAACAACTATTTATTTCCTGCGCACGTGGCAATATTTGTCGGCGTATCATTCTCCGCTACAACCTCCGCACGAACAACGGATTCCGGATTAATCTTTATATAGCGTGTCGGGAGAGACCGGAAGGGAGGACCAGGACCATAATTTAATCAGCCGATTTAGAGTGAACAAGTGACACGCGCGTGTCAAGCAGTGTATGCGAGCGAAATCGTTCCGGATAATGCGTATATATCGATATCTCTATATCTATATACACGCACACACTCGTTCCTGGCACCACCGCCGCGGATAACGCTCCGATGTCCGATTAGACGAAGTATCGGCACGGCAAATTGATGCGTTTGCCCGCACCGTGTCGATGTAAATCAGCGGCAGGTGACCGTATCGGGACGTTTCGGGAAAAAAAAAAAAAAAAAGAGAGAGAGGAACGATCAAAAACGAGACACCGCGCGCGGCCATTCGTAATATTCGTTATCGGTGAACGGAAGTCCGGGTGCGAGGCTCGACGCGTTCGATTGCTCGATTTATACGGGGTGAGCGACCCCCCACTCGCGCGGTGTCATGGACCGTTTTATCCACCCGAGAGTTCGGGGCGAAACAAATCATTCGTGGTAAAGATGCGTCGCGATTCGGACATAGAGTAAATGAGAGAGAGAGAGAGAGAGAGGTGATTTGAGATACAAAATCTTTTTATTATTTTTTTCTACGTTATTAGACTTCTCTTTTTTGCGTATGAGCGTTTTAAAGTAGCAAATAAAAACTAGAAATATAATAATATTAATTTTAGCTTAAAATGTGTGATTTAATTTATGAATATATAATAATTAATTTATGAATCAATGAATTCACTTGTAATAAAAATTAAATTCTCTCAAATTGATTTTATATA